AGTTTATCAACATGCAAAACCCGAACCAAGAGCAACACAATGTGGAAACTGTTGCGTTTAAACAGTGCACAAAAGAGTGTGGATAACTGCAACAGTGATTGAGGTAAAGTAATTAAGAATATTACACGACAACTTGTGTTACAACATAGGTGCAAAAATTGCTGGCAATACAACGATTTACTGAATGTAAATAAGTAGTATAAAATGATGCGCAAAAGAGTGGACGAGAAGCGATTAACAACTATGTAAAACAAGCTTAATACCGACCACCAATGATGACATCTCCTTCCTTACTCTCACTGATTAGATATTTAGCGTGAAGACATTCAGAGTTGACGATGGTACAGTTCGCTCTATCCAAAGTCACTCTGAAAAGTTTTTCTACACTCTACCACTCAATCGTCTGCTCGTTCGAATAAGCAAATTTTACGTATGTCTCTAGTGATTGATTACATTCCGATGTTCTGATCTTCGCTTGTCTGACGAGATCATCTTCTTCTTGTTCAACACTTACCACTAGACCTTTAAGCCAGATACTGTTTACATATTGGAAATAATCAAACGCATCACAATTGTTTGTAGCATAACATCAATGACGTGAAAGTAAGGATATGATTGAATGGTCGATTTGCACATTTGGTGGATGATCGCTGATGTCTATTCTAGTCGAACGATCATTCTTATAGTGTCCAGATAGTGTTAAGCTGAAAGGTTCCAGGACGTTCACCATTTCGATTTCTGGTATCTCAAGTCTACTACATAATTGTCATTGCTGATTTGTGCCACGTGTCCACACACAACTGTTGTCCATATCTCAGTCACTTTCATGTTATTCATACACAATAGATATACAAGGGTGAGTGCAATCATCATTTGAATAGTATGAAATGCAAAATATGTGAGTGAATCTGAATTGAAATAACCGCTGAAATTATCATTTCTAATCACTGATTAGACTACTCATCACAAATAACATGAAATGAACACCGATATCAGTAGATTGAATAGTAAATAACAAACACATTAAATTTGACATAGTGAATATCAATTATCCATTACATATGTGTCTATCAACTTACATGACAACTATTTCAGTAGTGTTATAATGGAACATACGAATCACTGGGGTACCGTACTGTATGCGTTCATGTTGTGGTGTCGTCGAATTTGTAGGTGGATTGGAATTGGCTGACAGTTTTACAAAGCATAGTATGTTCAACTGACAAAACTCTCATCGAAAGTGTGTTCAAATGAAGATTGTTAGGCAAGCTCACTGAAACTGTATGATTCGAGATGATTGTTTTGAAGTGGAAATACTTCAATCAGTTGTTGGATGTTAGTTAGTTTGACTCTGAATATTGTTGAATTCGCCGTGTCAAAGTGATTTACTGATCTAAAGCGTAAAATATAACTTTGTACATTGAAATTTTCATTTATTCGAGAGACTGTAGTAGTGATTGTTGAGTCAGGGTATCCTAGTGAATTGCATTAAACGAATAAAAGTCGACATTGAATGTAGTAGGAGTAGGCTTGTAGAAACGTACAGATGGGTAGAATGGTACGTATGTTTACTGACTACTCTTGATAACTGTTGTTTACATCACGGAAAAATATGCATGGGAATTTCAACTGATTTACTTCTCAAACTGATATAAACTACTCGATTCACATCCAATTTAGTTATATCATGAGTGTAATGTGAGACACATTTCAGCATGTGATAAGCATGAGTATAGTGAACACCAATGTACACTGAATCCGGATTACTGTATATTAGTCGATGTATACGACGCAAACAACTCCGCCTGTAGCTCTTCTAGAGTTACTACCGGTCCCAATCAGGGTAAACGAGGAGAGTTGAGCATGTGGTAAGCGACGCCATCCAGTGGAAATCTAACTCGCTAAACAAATGCTAACCAGAGAAATTAATTCAAACCATTTACACTCTGCCCTGGGAGTTAGAAGCTCCTCATTTAGAAGAACTATGACGCCTCATAGTGAAAACCGAGTTCTTTCGGAAGCCACGAGGCCGACGCTACTTCTAACAACCAGTACAACAGTTTTCACTGGTACATGGAATGTCTGGACAATGTGGGAGACCGGGAAGACCAGTCAAATAGCATCGGAAATGAGGAGATACAACTTGGCAGTACTGGGAATCAGCGAATATTATCCTGTGTTATGTACCCACCAATGATAGCAACGACGACATTAAAGATCAGTTCTATGAGAGGCTGCAATCAATCACAGAGAAGTGCTCAAGAAACGACCTCACCATTCTGATGGGAGACCATTGGACGACATAGATTGGGAGAGAGAACCGAAATTGGTGAAAGATTTGCAAATGTGTGTGCATTCAACAAATTGGTCATAGGCGGAACAATATTTCCACACAAACGTATACACAAAGCTACATGGATCTGACCGGACCACAACACAGAGAACCAGATAGATCATATTTGCATGAATAAAATGTTCCGAAAGACAATGGAAGATGTGAGAATCAGGTGAGCAGCTGATATAGCTTCAGATCACCACCTAGTTTTGGCCGATTTAAAACTGAAGCTAAACAAGAACTGGACAACTGGACAAACTGCACTACAAAAGTTCAATACAGCCTTCCTTCGAGATGCTGTCAAACTCAATGAATTCAAGATAGCTCTCAACAACAGGTTCCAAGCCTTACAGGATCTACTGAAGGAAGAAGAAACTACTAAGGAGGACAACTGGAAAGGTATCAAAGGAGGATTAACGTCAACGTGTCAAGAAGTCCTGGGCCTCAAGAAGCATGATCATACGGAATGGACCTCTATAGAAACACTAGACAGGATCAAATAAAGGAAGAACAAGAAGACAGCAAGTAACAACGACCGAATGCGAGCAGGCAAAGTTCAAGCATAAGCTGAGTACATAGAAGCAAACAGGCAAGTGAAGAAGATCATTAGAGCCGACAAGCAGAAATACGTGGAAGAACTAGCAACGACAGCGGAACAAGCTGCAAGAGAAAGAAATATGAAACAGCTTGACGATACAACAAAGAAACTAGCAGGGGAATACTGTAAACCCGAGAGGCCGGTCAAAGACAAAGAAGGCAGGCCAATCACTGAAATTGAACAACAGCGGAACAGATGGGTAGAGTACTTCGAGGAACTCCTGAATAAGCCGGCTCCTATGGATGTCAATCCACCAACGACCGAAGAAATCGGAATGGCCATCACACACACCAAGAGCGGGAAAGCAGCACGACCCGACAATATACCAGCTGAAGCACTGAAGTCAGATATCGAAGTAACTACAAACATGCTTCACCTTCTATTCAGAAAGATTCGGGAGGAAGGATACCTCATCAAGGTTCCGAAGAAAGGAGATCTGAGCAAATGTGAAAACTGCAGAGGCATTGCACTACTGTCAGTACCCGGGAAAGTCTTTGATACAGTGTAGCTGAACCGGATGAAAGACGCAGTAGACGCCCAACTTCGGTCGTGCACAGACCAAATTGCGACGCTACGGACAATCAGTTGAGTGGAACTCATCACTGCACATCAACTTCATTGATCATGAAGAGGCATTTGACAGTGTAGATAGGAGAACGCTATGGAAACTTCATCGACACTATGTAGTTCCTGAGGAGATTGTCAGTATTATACGGAACTGATACGACGGACTACAATGCAAGATCGTAAATGCAGGACAGCTGACAGTGGCATTACAAGTAAAAGACTGGAGTCAGACAAGGCTGTTTACTCTCTCCATTCCTCTTTCTTCTGGTGGTCGACTGGATTATGCAGACCTCGATATCTGAGTGAATGGTGCACTGGAATGAAGTCAACTGGTAATTTCGCAAGACACAAGTGTTATCAAGTTAACATCAGACATCATGTTCATCATGTTATTAGACAAGTGAAAACATACTGCATTCTTCAATTGCTGCACCGCCGAATCGAATGAGGTGAACACCTGAACTTGAAGAAGCCTTCCACAAAGTGAAATTGAATGAATGCAGATAATTGTGGATTTTCAAGTTCATTTCACTTAATGTTGATCATATTTCTTCTGCGATTCAGTAACCGTCTGTCTCATTCAAAGCCTCATTATCCTGAACACTATGTGAATGAGAGTAATCATGCGATTGAATTGAACATATTTGCGATTGACATGTGTTCTGTTTAGTTCATTGTATTCTGTTCATTCGAGTAGTTTGATTAGCGTTTTGTATATTACTCTACACTACTACTTATCAGTATTGAGTAGTCTGTGTGGTTACCCATAACTTTATTGAATGCAGACATACTGATATCTGTCTTGCTATAGAATATTCTCAACCACATCCATCCACTGAACACATTCATTTGATTGATTCATTTATAATGAGTTTTCAACCAGTTGATCAGAGTTGATCCAAGTAATTATTATTAGTGGTAGTTAGAGAAGAAGGAGATTAAGCTAGCAGAACACACATAGCATTTAAAGCAATATGTATTATTGAAGTGTATAATACACGTATTAGTCATTGAACGGGCAGAGAGAATACCTGTTGTTCTACTGGCTTTACACAGAACAGTTTGTGAATTCATCGTGCACTGCAATCACATGAATCATTCATTCAGTGAATTATTCATCATCCGAGAGTCAGTAATGTCAACTGTCGATTACATACAATCATGGTGTACACATATGATTGAAAATTGATCATTGATTTATCATTATACCAGTTCATTGATATCCTAATAAGAATGCCTCATGATATTGTTCTGTGTTGTACTTATAAGTAGTGATTGAGGCAACTGTGAAAGTGTACAGTTCCATTCAGTGGTGAGAATGTGGAAATCAGGCAATGATGAACATGAGAAGGTAACGCGAACGGGGAAGAAACCTAATTGTGTATTGTAAAGTGAATGCGAGATCATGTTGTTGATTGAATTTCACAAGATCTTATTGTAAATGAACTGTCAGTGAATAACAAACTTACAAGCTCTGAATTATAGTATGAATAGAATAAGATGATGAAGATGATGATGATGATGATGAAGATGATGATGATGATGATGATGATGATGATGATGATGATGATGATGATGATGATGATGATGATGATGATGATGATGAGATGATGATGATGATGATGATGATGATGATGTATGATGATGATGATGATGATGATGATGATGATGATGATGATGATGATGATGATGATGATGATGATGATGATGATGATGATGATGATGATGATGATGATGATGAAGATGAAGATGATGATGATGATGATGATGATGATGATGATGAAGATGATGATGATGATGATGATGATGATGATGATGATGATGATGATGATGATGATGAGATGATGATGATGATGATGATGATGATGATGATGATGATGATTGATGATGATGATGATGATGATGATGATGAAGATGATGATGATGATGATGATGATGATGATGATGATGAGGATGATGATGATGATGATGATGATGATGATGATGATGATGATGATGATGATATGATGATGATGATGATGATTATGATGATGATGATGATGATGATGATGATTATGATATGATGATGATGATGATGATGATGATGATGAAGATGATGATGATGATGATGATGATGATGATGATGATGATGATGATGATGATGATGATGATGATGATGATGATGATGATGATGATGATGATGATGATGATGATGATGATGATGATGATGATGATGATGATGATGATGAGATGATGATGATGAATATGATGAAGATGATGATATGAAGATGATGATGATGATGATGATGAGATGATGATGATGATGATGATGATGATGATGATGATGATGATGATGATGATGATGATGATGATGATGATGATGATGATGATGATGATGATGATGATGATGATGATGATGATGATGATGATGATGATGATGATGATGATGATGATGATGATGATGATGAGATGATGATGATGATGATGATGATGATGATGATGATGATGATGATGATGATGATGATGATGATGATGATGATGATGATGATGATGATGATGATGATGATGATGATGATGTGATGATGATGATGATGATGATGATGATGATGATGATGATGATGATGATGATGATGATGATGATGATGATGATGATGATGATGATGATGATGATGATGATGATGATGATGATGATGATGATGATGATGATGATGATGATGATGATGATGATGATGATGATGATGATGATGATGATTGATGATGATGATGATGATGATGATGATGATGATGATGATGATGATGATGATGATGATGATGATGATGATGATGATGATGATGATGATGATGATGATGATGATGATGATGATGATGATGATGATGATGATGATGATGATGGGAATAAATGCCCTATTTACTACAATAACAATAAACATGTTTATATAAGGGAAGGACGTGTGAACCACAATATGACGAAAGCAGATGTCGAATATGCAATTTAGTTTTATGGGAAGAAGAAGTTGATGTTTGTGTGAAGGTGTTCACCAAACAACAACAACAACTACAATAATAATAATAATAATAATCAAAGATTAGCTAGAGTACATATTTCATTACATGAATGGACGCAGTTGTTTACTTACAAACTGATGATGATCAAAATAACCATTGTAGGTAAAGGTCAAGGTAGTGGTAGAGATGGGAAAGTCTCTCATTTGTAAACGAACATTTAGTTTCATCCCATGTTTGATTGAAATGTTCCGTTGTTTAATGGAGCTTCAAACGATCAACTGTTGTCAAATGTGAATAGATTCTGTGTGAAAGAAACAGTGAAATATGGTTTTGAGTTAGCTGTGTTGCACAAGTTAATAACGTATTTGAAGTTAAACATTCTAACTGATCTCGTTTCATACTTGTGGAAAGAATTCGACGCGAGTTATCGTTTGGTTGGTGAAAGTCAACCATATCTCCAGTCAAAACATGTTTCATCATAGTAAGATTGTGCGACAATCACTGCTTTATTCAGAGTCTGTTGTATCGTTTGATAGGTGGAAAGTCAACAAGAAGGAATAAAATTGTTCTGTCCCAACATTGAATATCACCCTGAACAAAGCGGTAGAAAAGGTAGTTGGACACACTTAACGGACCACACATGTTTCATTTATTCCATTTATCTATCATAATGAAATTGTAACCACGAATGACAGATTGCAGATTGTAACGTTTCTGAAAATCATCAGTAAACTGATTCGAGATCGATGTGTGCATTCTACATTGAAAATTGTTGATGCTGGCATAAGAATATTTCCGTTGGTATTCGTAGTAACATGCATATATCAGCTGAAACTACACTTCCATCGTAATAAAAGTCATAAACATCGTAAGTCAGATTACTGAGTCACGATTACTGCTGTGATTTCATTGATGTAGTCAATTCGCAGGTGGAACACTATTTGATGTCACTAGGAATCGACAGAAAATGGTCAAGGTCGGTTTATTGAGAAACCACTAATGATGGAATATGTAAGAAACATTTTCAAAGGAGGTCGGCTGATTCACACTCACTCCCATGTCTTATATTCACTATCTTACAAACTGATATTAGTTCTCTAATCTAAACGTGAAATTTTTGCTTCATTTATACAACATCAGAGAACTGATTAATTTGTTTGGAAACTTATAAAGCACAGTAGTACTGTATTAAACCAACACATTCTGTTGAGAAAATCACATGCTCCACTGTTGAAATTCAAAGTGAAAAGAAACAGTTAAGGCAATCGATTAATTCTCATAGATTACTCATTCTATTTAAGCAATGATGCCATCGTTCCTGTGAGATCAGAGCAGACATACAGTGATGAGTTCATGAGATGATAAACAGAATGATCGCTGTTCAAATCAATCACTTCATCAAAATTGAATTGTTATTGGTTGTGATGTAGGAAGCAGTTATCGTCACTGCATTGAGATATTCGTGAAGAACATAAGTAAGTCGGTTTAAGGCAATAATGTTTAACGAGAGTGCAAGATTGAATCACGCACAAACATCAGTTATGTGCACATCAACATCGAATCGCAACTAGACTTAATTGACGAAATAAATGACACAGTATCCTCAATTGTTTTAACATCAACATAGAATTGACGAAAACATGGGCATGTAAACTCGAAGAAACTCACTGTGGGAGCCATAATCACTATTCATAATGAAATAAATGACCAATACAGTTTGCATTCATCCAACTGGTTAGAAATTATTCATTTCCAATGAGCAACCACCCTATTGGTCAATTTGTGGATATGGCGAATTCCACCAATCAATTGATTCATCTGCACTATATAAACAGCGGCAGCAGTAGTAGTTGTTGTTGTTATTGTCGAGCAACAAACCATTTCCTATACATTTCAAGTTACATCAAATGATTCAATATTCATTCTTGATCACTGTATACATTTCAATTCATCTTTCATATTGTTTGCACACACAAACAAATGTGACAAATCATTTGACATTGTTATCCTCGTGTGAGCAGTGCCCGAAATCTAATACAAATATGCATTGCAACTACACACAATGGATAAGCAGATTGGGATTGCCAGAGCAGACATTCTCACAAAACTACTGGTTGAATTCAGTCAAAACGAAATCAGACTGCCTCACTGAATGCCGATCTCATCCACAGTGTAATCTATACACATATCAAATTGTAAGTTTACCATATATTTTCACTAAATATGTAATTGTCTAACTGATATATCACTGTATATATACATACTTCCAGTTGAATTGATGATCACCGATTCATGTCAATATCCACCTACTCTGTTATCTTAACAGAAATATTATTGTTATTCTTAGTTGTAGAGAATAAGAAACGTTTGCAATTTTCGACTGTACGAAGTGTTTCAATGAAATGTCAAGTGTCCCATTTGAGCTATTATTATTACCATTAATATTAGATGGAATGCTACATCCATCAACCATTTGATGTATGAATAGCAGATATACGTTACATTTCAAACTTCTCCTTATTTACAGCTCGAATCGAAATGGTGCACTCTGTATTCTGGACTGATTGAAAACGCTACGATAAACATCGATTCAACCGAGTATATGACTGGAGGAAGAGTGTGTTGTTGTAAGTTGAAATCATGTTTATCATTGTCATATTAATAATAATGATAATCATAATGAGGAATGTTTCGAATATCCAGTGTAATTAGGGCCAGTGTATTATGGTTTGTATGATTAAGGGTAGTTGTGTTGTATTTTATTTGAGTGAACTGAAATGACATGAATCATTTGAGAATATGTAGTTGGCTTGATGATTGAAGCAAGTGTTTCCATGCAAAGTTGATCTGTAGATCTGAGCTACTGTTTACTGAGAAATGCACTGAGTGTCCATTGTCCATAAAAATGTCAGTCAGTCAGTCAGTCAGTCAGTCAGTCAGTCAGCCAGTCAGTCAGTAAGCAACGGTTGACACACGTTAGAGAAAACTGTTAATTGAAGTTTAACAGTGAAATACGTTTCATCTCAGTGTGTGTATTTGAAGTTCCAGTCTACATTCTCGGAACGTCAGATATTCTAATTAGCTTTAACTTACAAATGCCTCATAACATCACCAACCAGAATGTTGCAACTTCTCTCTTCGAAGCATCTCCTTGCACTATTATGTTTGCAAAGTTGCTTCACGTATCTGATGTTCCCCAAATCACTAAACTGTACACGATTACGCATGAATAAATAAGAATGTTTGTGGTAAGTGAACGGACAAGTTTACACTGTGAACTACGTACAATTCATGCTAATCGCAATCACTCATCATAATGAAAGTTCTTATTAAGTAAACTGGTTGCTGAATATCTATCTGTTGAATGTTAGATATCGGTGAACATTTTAGTGGATTGGTAGATTTGCATATTTAGTTTGCACTAATGTCAGTCAATCGTCTATGTACATCGATTACTATTTCAAACGATTTTCCAATTTCCATTCTTCTTCCTCTTCTTCTTCTTTTTCTTTTTCCTTTTCTTCATCATCATCATCATCATCCTGTTCATCTTCTTCTTGTTTTTCTTGTATATTTTGCATACTTAAACCATAGTACTTTCAATATAATCTGTAATAATTTGTGTTCAACCGTTTACTGACTACTGCGCTGTACTGTACTCTAGTGTACTGTACTGTGCTTTAGTGTAATGTAGTGTGATGTAATGTAATGTAATGCATTGTATTGTACTTCACTATGTCAGACATTCTGTAACTAAATGTAACTAAACCATTCATTCGTTGTTTACCGCGTGTTGTTCAATCCTATAAGTCATTTTACGATTTCAGTTCTCCCATGATCTGGCTGAGCCAACATATTTGAATGAAACGTAAGATTTTGAATAAAAGTAAAGTCATATTTTCGTAACAAGATCACCTATTATGACAGTGCAGACTGACCTCGTAGACACAAACCACAACCACATAAATGAGATGAAATATTTCAATGTGATATGATATTTGCTGATGACCAGATAATCCAATTTAGTATTTTGATTGTGAAATGTATTTAAATAACTAGATAAGCTGTTATGTCCTCTGGTCACTAATTCACCATGTACCGAGATGTCAGTGAATATCATGTGCTTTATGCCTCAATCCGTCTTTCAATTATCGATCAGTTCACCGTTGACTTACTCGACTAGTCCTTGGAAGATCTAACCACACAACACACCTAATATGTAATCTTACCTGAAGAATAATCTTACAACATGTGATAGAGAGCGGCACAACTAGTACAGAGCATAGCATTAAACAACTACAAATGTTCATTATTTCCAATGCTTGATCCTTAAAAGCAAATTACTCTGACTTTTCATGTTTCAATATGTTGATTATAAATTGATAAGACAATATTCTATGCTTCGTTTATTCAACTGTTAGATGTGTAGGGAAAACTGTACTAACCATTCAGTATTTGAAACAGATAGTCTTTGATTCTCAAGTGAAGTGACATCTATCGTGCTCATGTAGTTCTATTTCATACTCGTCAGCTACATCTGAACCAACTACTTAAAGTTCGCAACACTGATACATTATCCATAACATGAATGAAAGACACAAACTCTTAGGAATGCTATTCACCAACATATATGTACGATAAACAATTTTAATACTTTCAATCGAATCTGTGTAAACAGCATTAGTTCAATATGGAAACTCCACATGATTGTAATTGGTTTTTTGTTTTATTTTACAGCAAATGAACAAGCTTGTCGAGAATTGGTTGATCTCAATCGTTGATCTGTACATATATCTATGTAACTGTGAAAATAATAAAATATTTACACTGGAAAAATTGAGAATTACTTCTTTTGTAGAACAGTGGTGTTTTCGTATTTTCTTCGAATGTTTGAATTCACGCCGTAGAACAGAGGGAAAAAAATTCCGGTGTTGACAAAACAGCTTCGAACTTATCTTCTGATTTTCATCAGAAATTGGCCTTAAAACGT